GACTCAGAAATTCCAGATTCAATCTCGATAGCTTTGTCTTGACTATTAATACAGGTGGTCCATATAAATTTTCGTAGGTTGCTTTTGACAACAAAAGCTATGTTTACTTTATTATTTACAACCAGTGTTTTTACATTTGTCGGTAGGCCACCCATGATTTCTTTTATAGATCATAAATGATTTCTTATAACTGACTCCAAAGATGTTATTATATTCCACCGAGATAACATCAAGCGTTACCGTATAACGTTCAGAAGAAAAAACGAACACTCGAAAATGAAACATATCAATTTATAAAATGTTAAAGCTCCGCTCGATTGTAACATAGGCTTATTACCTCTAAGCAAATAAATACCGTCACCTTTCCTTATCTAGGATCTTTAAGAGAAATCCGAAACCGTAAACATGCGCGTTGAGCATACTATGTTAACTATTCATTCGGTGTCTCCGGAGAATATATTGAACAAAAGACGGGCTCAGCATCCGAGCACACTATTTCTCACTACATCGGCGCGATGTAATCAGAGAAGACGACGTGTCGCGCTTATTTATGTATGAAGAGGGCGCGGGCGCGGGCGAGGGTGGGCCAACGCGCGAGCTACAAACAGAATAATATTGATGACACTGCGCTGCGAAGGGTCATGAATCATTAATCGCCCGCTCTCCTACGGCTCTATTACGACTGCCTTGCTGGATAAGCCACCCTTCACGAGCTGAGCTCCTGCGACCTCTTCCCGCTGTCTCCCGATTCTCGCGTTCGTCTTTTCCCTCACCTCACGGGTAATGCACTCTTAATACAAGAAATAACCATAAGTTAATAAAACATTCAGGCACTTTTATTTAAAATTTAACTGCGCTTTGTGCAAACAATAAAACAATTTCTTTAGATTTCGAAACATAACTTATTCGACTTAAGGAAAAACCCAAATTGCAAATACACGGCAAAATTTTTTTTCATTATTGTGTGTAAATATCGAACTACAATCAACGTAAGTGAGAATCGATGTAACAATACTAAACGCAAAGAAAACAAATAGCTCTTCGTATCGTAATGAATAGGCAAAAGATGCAAATCACAAAAGCAAAATACAAAAAATTTTAAAACAAAGAACAAAAAACACTGGAGGCAATTTAAGTTAATTCAGTAAGCAACGGACATGGCTACTTCCAAATGAACTCAAACGTAACAAAAACGAAAACAAACCATGGACAAAAACGCAGGTCATTTCGGCTGGGTCTTTCTCGTTTATTTTTTCTAAACGCTCCGTGGCCCGAGGACGTGCATCCGAAACCTTGACTTTTTTTTCTCTCTCACTTTTGTTTCCATCAGAATGTCTACCGTACCTCTTATGTAAGGTTAAACTATAAAATAATACAGCTGGATCGAAACCAGACCGATGCGAAAAGGGTCCGTGGCAGGAAGAGGGAACGTTCCTAAATTTCTAATTGAGATTTTATTTCGCGATCAAGCGAATAGTTTATTTTTTGCAATACTCAACCCATTTAAAGCGGCTGTTAGTCTTACTCTACAAACTTACATTATAGTTTTTTGAATTGCTTTACAAACCAAAGTCCAAAGTTGATTTAAATCAATATCGTTCTCCTAAAGATATCGAAATAAGACCTTAATATTTAATCAATACAAAAGCGCATTTCTAACTTTGTTGTTTTTCCGGGATATAGTATGCGTTAAACAAAAGAACCAAAGCCAAAAGTATTGAAAAGTGTTGAAGTATTGTCAAAAGTGATGAAAAAATAAAGTTACGAGCTTACGAACACGTGGTTCACGTTCTTACATAGTCATAAGCATATCTTGGCACTTACTTCAGAGACTTTTTAAAATTCATCACATGTCTCCAAAGTCCGCGTCGACATCGAGGGAGGCACGCTTTTAACAAAAAAAAAAAACTTTAAAAAGTATAAGAAATAGAAAAACATGGGTCGATGTTTGAAAAGGACCATGTTGCAATGAGATACAATAGAAGAAATAGTTTCTGGCGGCAGCGTAAGGCGTTACAATGCGCCCGTCTACTTTTTTTAAATAAAATCTTTTGTATGACTCCTTAAATGAGTTCTTTCAGTCCAGTGCCAGCAGGTCTGTTTGTTTAAAAAGCAACCCGAATTTACATTTCTTTCGACGCGTTAAGCCTACAAAACAAATTGTTTCGTTTAGTTGTTTTTATACTTGGGAACTAATGGTAATATTTTTCAAAAATTTACTTGGTAAACGTAGTTTTGAAACATATTTCTAGATAGTTCAAATTTGTTTTATTAAGTACTAGAAATGAGAAATATGCTGGTTAACCAAATATTTTTTTAGATGTTGGTTAATACTTTAACCATATTTTGTAATTTTATAACAAACACAATATCTATGGTCTTTAATCTTCTTACAACGGAAGCTAACATACATCATAAAGAGTAGTGTACAATGTTTTCTTTGTGTGATCGTAAATTATCTAATGGTATCCTAATAATCCGGACAAAGAATTCAAGGCTGTCTATCCTTCCGTCCTTACAAACGTCACGCACATCCTTCCCTAAGCGAGCGGAGAAAAAAAATGAGCATTGAACAGCGCATTGTCGGAGCCCTTAGTCGCAGGTAGACTGAACAAAAAAAAGATTCCACTAAATGCGAAGGATTGCACAAAAAATTCTCCGACACGTGATTACAGCGAACGGCTCAGATTATCGGCAGATGTCAATTTTTGAAATGTTTAACTAATGCATGATATGGGTACTATAATATTAATAAAAAAATACCCAACAATGAAAAATCCAAAACAATTCAACGGCCGATTAGCTTTGTATAACGATACCTCTACCTGACAGCTTCACTATAGTCACGTACAATTGAGTGGTTGTGTTCTGACTTCTCATCAGAAGCCAAAGGGTCCAATAAAATAAGATAGGAAAAATTGATTTTAAATTAGCATCAGAAAATTTTAAATTATAGGTACCGCAATGGTGTTACATTTCACAATTACACCTCCTACGAATGTTATAAATGCGTAAGTTTGGATGGATGGGTAATTATTAGAGTTTGCCGCTTTAACGGCTGAACGGATATCGATGAAATTTAGCATAGAATAGTCTTGCAGAACACTTAGGCCATTTACTTTTGTTTTACGGAGTCTGGAGCGAAAGCTAGTGTCGCATAAAAAAACAACATAGGTACTGATAAGAATGTGTCAGAAGAAAATGCGGATTTGAATATCTTTAACACGTCTGTAAAACCATTCTTACATTATTGGTTACATAAATAGCAATTTTGATTTCCAATAAAGGGTATAGAAAATTGAAATGCAAATGTTGAAAAAAGCATGAAACGGACAATAAAATTTTATTACATCCTTGCTTAATGGCTGTGCAGAGTTGAAACAAATAGGTTTATTCCGATTTAAAGAGGATAGTCGATACAAATTACGTTTATGGACGCATATTCCCGATAGCGATAACAGCGGCAACCTGTTTCGAATGGTTCAAATAAATAACATAACCTGTTTAGATAAAATTCAATCCGTAAATATTGAACAATTCGTTGTATCGGATTAGCATTGCACGGACCTGTGAAAATACATCAAATGGAATTAACATAGGCTTTCCATGATAACAATGTTCTTGAAAAGTTTAATCTCATCTTATGTATCACCTCGCATTGGTATCCAAACTGATTTATAAGAAGACACTCCTCATTCTCCTCGCTATAAGCTAAAAGGTCTCTAACTATGGTAACTGTTATTATTATTATGCAGTCTTTATTTTTTTACTACTGTTCACGTGCAAGCAAAATAATGGAAGGTTGAAGGAAATCAATTGTTTAAATTTTTCACTTTTATTAATCATTCTTAATGTTACATTATCTTAACTAAATGGTTTAATAGTAGAAAAATGTATGGTACAATAGTAAAAGTAGGCATAAAGGGCTACAAAAAATCAGAACCAATGATCAAGGTACAGTCAACCAAAGAAGAAGTAAAAGAACATTAAATAATTCAATAAAGAGTTGTTAATCATCTGTGTTATTATTTTTTTATTAATTGAGTTTAAATATGAACCACATCAATAAGATGATTCTCTCAAAAACATAGGAAAAGAATCTTACGTCATAACTTAATACTTGAGTCAGGGAAATAACACGAAGGAATTTGTAACTTCTACCTATTCTGTTGTCAGGAGAGCGCTTTTATGTTTGTGGGTAGTGTAAATATTTGATGTAAAGGTCTAACTACTGCACCGCGGTGATTGCGGTTCGTTAGCGTCGCCGACCAATAAATGGCGAGGATAATGAAATAAATTCAAGTTGTAACCTCAATGAGGCTTTTGCAAACATTGACCAAAGCTACTCCACGTGTCTGTGTAGTTTATAATACTGTAATGTTTTTATTCACGTTTGCGCATATTTTGAGAAAAAATTGTATTGTTCTTATTAAAAATTAATCAATATGCATTTCTAAAAATACGTTTTGCAAACTGTATCATAATTTAATTGTTCATTGCTTGCTGTTTCGTTAACATTTCGTTAACTAAGTTCTTTCAATAAACAGTAACGAAAATCTAAAATAATATTAAAGTTGAATTATTTCTTTAACACTGGATACAGTTAATTTTATAATGTGTTAATATTAACTTCTGACAGGGTTACGAGGGAGTTATAAGAAATGTTCCCGTCTTTTATGTTAAGTCATCTTTTAATATTACGGAATACTTCATTAGGTTCGTGACGAATTTAATGTTCAGTCTGTACGTGGAGCGGCCGCTGACGGCCTAACGGGCAGCCTCGGTGTGATTGATTGAGGGACAAATGAATAGAATTAATATAGCACCGACTATACATGAATACGAATATAAATTGAACCAGTAAAATAATTGATTAACGTTACATAAATGAGTAAAATAAATTAAATAATAAGGGATTTATTCACTAAACAAATGGGAAATAAATTAGCACGTGTTAAAGGTAAAAAAAGGTTGAAGTCTACAATGAAATATAATCATACCTTTTGCAAACAGGTCGCTCTACATTGCGCTACCCGCAAAGGAGATGAAACTTCCTCTTCGGCGAACACTCCAATCCATAACATTACAATAGGCAACAGCGAACTATACAACATTTTGGCACACATTTTCTTTGGTATCTCTAATTAAAGTCAAGTCCGGGTCAATGTTTTTGCTCTATCATACCCGGCACACGAATTCCGTGAGAATAGTTATCATAATAACTAAAACAAACTGAAAATTATAACTTCGCTAATCTTACTGAAAAGCTTTCGCCACGAAAAACATTATAAATCGGATATCTGAGTTGTTTCGAAGAAGATAACTTAAATCGTTGACAGAAATATGTTAACAAAATGATATATTAACATAAAGTAACACAAATTGTAAATAATACTACGTCGCACTAGAAAAATGTTTTCACAACTTCAATCGTTCGCTTAGATATTCGACGAGAGCCGACGCGAACTGTAGCGCGGTCGACTGCGGACTAACCACCCCGCTTGAAGAAGCTCTGTTCCTCTCCCCTCTGATGGTTAATTTTGTCAACTTTCTCGCTCGCACAAGAGGGTAACCCTCCTCTCGCTCACTCCGAACACGAAACGTACGAGCGTACTATTACATATAGCGCTCTCTCTGTCGACTCTACTAGTGCATATATTTTATTCTATCTCGTTTCATCTCGGGTGGTTTTACGTTGTTTTTCCTTGATGCAGTTTAACGGATGGGAATGTAGTGGTTATCGTTAGACAAAGACGGTTGTAGTAGAAATTTTAGGGTCGTTCAAAAGGGGTGACAAAGAATCGAGCTAATTCAGGGCTTGCGTTTTTATGAGACCTCGAGTGGTAAAAAGTATCCCGCCTCTCTCGTTTGTTCAACTTTATGGCCCACGCTTCGTGATGCCATATTAATATTATTAATGGCCGCTACATCAAATACAATACAAATTTCCTATTATTAAAAGGGGTTTTATGATTTTTTAATTTTATAGTCACCCTATTTATATTAAAAGCTTGTGTTTAAGAGAAAATTATTTTTGTTCTATTAAAAATTTGATTCTCATACCCGAGGTTGTAATTCACATTTGCTACTTGCGCGTTTATTTCGTATAACATTCATTATTTGTATCTCGGAAACATTATTTTGCAGAAGGCAAAGACTCGTTCACAAAACCCTCGCAGCAAAAAGATTAAATAAGAATACAGTGTACGTGACAGCGCCCAAGCCTTTCTACGTAAAGGCATTTTTCGTTTTCTTTCTTGAGCAACTCTGGGCCCGTTCTATTCATCCTCGCTGTCTTTAATCTCCAGTCTCTCTCCAGACTTTGTCTAGACAAGTCCGCAGCCGTGAGCCGAATGCACACAATTCCGATACAACCGCGGACGTCTGCCCCCAACAGATCTGTAGATATCGATCTCGTAAAACGACCTAAAGCAATTTCTCATCTAATTGTTGGACATGAAAGTATTTTAGCGAGAAGAAAATTTTTCATGGCAAAAACCACACAGAAAACGTAACTTTTGTTGGGAAATGTTATATGTTGACTTACGAATTTGTTAAGCGGATAATTTTGTTCTAAAACATGATAAGAATCATGAAAACCTTAAATGTAATCCTTATCATCAAATCTGATTTCACGCATTTGTTTTCATAAAAATGTCTTAAAGCTAATGCAAGCATGCAATAGAAATGACCCGGTTGTAGAAATGGCTTCAATTCTCTGTAAAAATCCCGTATATGTCTTACAAAAGGAAACAATTCTAGATTTCCATCTATAAATTTTCACATGAAAAGGAGTTACCATAAAGGAGAATAAAGGAATAAACCCTTATTTGTTGGCGTTATTCCTTTTTCAGAAGGCACGGGACTTTATATTGTTGGCAAACGCGATCCGTCTGTCGACAGTTTATGGCCAGCCGATGACAGCCACGCGAACGTAGACAATACTGAAGGGTTCAATGCGGTCTCGTAAAATGAATCTGCTTTCAAAGGTCAAGGTCCGCAAGCGACGATTGAAAATTGTCAAACCTGTAAATGGGATCTACCATTTGTTGAGATAGACAAAGATTCGGTGTATCGAAATATAACTTAGATTTGTTTTGTTTTCTTATCTGCTATGTTATGTACTTTTTTCATAACACTTCTAAGTGATGTAGCTATTTGAAATAAAACGCATACCTAAAAGTAAAATAAAAAAAACCTAACTTAGTTTTTGAAAATAATGTTATAGCAAGAGTTAAGGTCGTGTAATATATAATTACAACGAAACATTATTAGGATATATCTCACAGATAATAATAATATTAAGAAACATGAGTGACAATGTATTTAAAATGTTTCACTAGGACTAGGCATATATTAAAAAAATGACTTAAATTATGCAAATTGTTGCTAAAAGCTATTCGATATAGCATTATTATAGATAATTTATAGTCTTGTACTCGTCTCTTTAATAATTGTTGACAACAAATGCTTGATTTGTTGATTTCAATAAAATTTAAGTTACGATAACCGTATTTCGAAAAGAGCGTTTTAATCATACTAATATTATAAATGCGAAAGTTTAGATGGATGGATGGATGGATGTTTGTTAGTTTGTAGCCTATACGGCTGAACGGATTTCGATGAAATTTGGTATAGATGTAGAGGATAGTCAGGAAGAACACATAGGCTACTCACTTTTGTTTTTTTTAATTCCACGCGGACGGAGTCGCGGGCGAAAGCTAGTTTTATTATAATTTGAATTTTCGTTTAAATTGTTAAATTGTTTTAATTTCTGGTCGTAAATAGCCTTACGATATTCATAACATTTGATTTTTAATAATACTGCATAAAAAACATCTTGTGTGTGTATTTTAATTTATTTTGTGTGGTTTGTAGATGGCAGATGTTATTACCTTTTTATGTTAACAAAATTGTCAATGAATCATTTTATTTGAAAAATATTTAGCTCTACAGTGCTATAGTTCTTTTGCTTATTCCTATGCAGTTGTACAAGTTTACGATATACATTCTGCAATACTAAGCACATAACTCGGAAGTGTTACTCCGGACACTTCTAATTAGGTCTCTTGTTGAAACAAAAAGCTCTGAGATAGCAACTGTGTACGTTGCGCTTTTGTTTCGTATTACTTTTGTATGATAATAGTATAAATTAATGTTTCCTTCTGAATTCATCTTACTTTTTACTATCATATTAATATTATAAAGGCGATTTAGATGGACGGATGGATGTTTGTTATGTAGTCTTAACGGCTGAACGAATTTCGATGACATTTGGTATATACTTAGAGGATAGTCTGGAAGAACACATAGGCTACTCACTTTTGTTTTTTTTAAATTCCACGCGGACGAAGTCTGGGGCGAAAGTTAGTATTATTATAAATGCGAAAGTTGAGATGGATGGATGGATTTAAGAGTTTGTAGCCTAAACAGCTGAACGGATCTCGTTGAAATTTGGTATAGAAATGAACCATAGTCTGTAAACACACAGGCTACTTACTTTTTTTAATACCCCGCGAACGGAGTCGCGGGCGAAAGCTAGTGTTATCATAATCTTGGTTGCTTAAGCTTGGAAACAAAAAGAAAAAAAACCGACTGGATACTAAGTGATTGTGAAATTTTATATTGCGTGTTAGAAGGTGTGTCACATGGTAGATAATTATATTCAATGGTAATTATGGTAAAGATAAAAAATGACAAGTTGTTTAAAAAGTTCTCTCGTACTGGTCGAGTAGAGATATCCTTTGATATAAAAACCATTGTAAAATAAGCCGTTTACACGTGGATTATGCTTATCTTCTCGTTCGAGGGAAGAGCTTGGTTTAAAATTCCATTATTGAAGCGGAATTTTCAAAAGCAATTTATTCTCGTTCACTGATTTTTTTTAAATTATACACTCATAATACTTTAAGTGTTAATCTTAAAATTCGTTGTAATAATAATCAACTTACATGTTTCACATAAACTATTTGCTTTCCACTGGCAGGCAAGAATCGTTTTTTTTTTTTGTTTTAATTTTTTAATGAATTTCAATAGCGGCAATTTACCAAACTTAATACCCAAGAGAAATATCTTGAACAGTCCTATTCGAAATTATAATAATGCATACTTTCGTTTATTTCTTCTTGACTCGGCATTTTTATTTCATTCATTTTGTTCCTCGTACTATTACACAGAGTCATAAACTTCAGAGGCTTATTATCGACAAAAACAATCGCTTTTTCGATTTTATATCTGTTTTGAACTGCGCCATTCGTAATTTAAATTATTTAAAAGCATAAAATAACCATTATTACTTTTGCTAAATTCATTCAGTTTACGTTCACAAAATGATCTTTAGTAATTTCTGAAATGGGCCTAAACACGGTAGTTCTTAAAATTACACAGGAAACATATTAAAGGATATTAAAAATTGATTTAAAATATTGTTTATGACAGTGTTTTATCACTTTTTGTTTGTTAAAATTCCTTAAATATTTAAGAATTGTAATATGCACATAACTAAGTACATATCCTTATTGTGACAACCTAAGGAAATAAAGAATAATAAAAATTGAGTTATACATTTGTTTTAAGTTTTAGGATAATTTTTATTTGAATAAATCTTATTTGATGCATTACTCTGTGCACAGAGCCGTACAGTTAAGAAGATGGAACTATAACACCGCTGTAAGAACAGCCATCTCTCCTTATTTAACATTTTTCATATTATTTTTGCTGAAATGAGTTTTACATTTTTCGCATTCATAGAATATAAACAAAACAGCTAGCATTTTGCATTTTTGATTGTAAAGGGTAAACTTTACGCAAATACTGGCGGGTGAATTTTATATTTCTTTTTTAAGCTTGTTTAATGTTACTGTTGTTGGTAAAATAATTTTGATGTGGTTTTTGAAATAAACATTTGATTTAATTTTAGAATAAATATTAGACTATTTTCTGGGTATTTCATAAACAATTTTAACAGTTAAACAATTAATTTCCAAACGTACTATCGGAACGAAATATGCCTTAAATTATAATTTTACACAAACTTTAGCATCGTATTAAATTTGTAAAATGTCAAGAAATATTGAACAAAGAAAATTACAAAATGTTAATAGTAAGAGACCGTAATAAAATTCAAAGAGAAACGCAATAGAAAGTTCTCGATTAATGTATTTGTACTGAAATAATGGAAGCCGTTACAGAATACGTTGAACTTTGATCTTTTAGAGCATCTACGTTGTATCACAAGTGTTGAGTACGCCGGTAGCTGCCAGGTCCAGTGTTACTTGGTCTCTATCTTGGGCTAACTTTAATGAAGTTTCCTTTTATTACTACGGAGCTGGCCCCAAGGATCTTTGTGTTTATGATCCTGTTATAACTTTAAAGGGATTGCAACGCCGTAATACTTCCTTGTTAATTTTTTACCTTCTCTAGAATGTATTTCTCTTCAGCGTCAAAGTTTAATAAGTTAGTCATGGTTTATTTACTAAACAAGTTTCTCT